AAGCTTTGTGTTAATTTAACTTATTTAACTTACAGTATATTACAGAAAACATGATGATTGGTGATAAAAGGCTGAGCAGAAGCAGGTGGATTCACAGGAAAAGGACAAGAATGGAGTCCATAAAAACCTCCCAAGGAACAGACAGATGCATTCAGATTTTCTTCCTCTGGAACTAACCTAGCTGATTTGAAAGGCAGTGATTGCCTCGTTGAGCCAAGACACTTCCATGATTCACACTAACCTTCCTCTGGTGGGCAATTTCGTTCTCGCTCTTACAGCCCCCAAGGAACTGCATGGGTGCACACTGGAGGATTTCCTGACCAAAGTTCACGTACGGTGTAATTTAAGTAAAAGCCCTGATTACATTCTGTGCTGTTCTGAGTTAAATGAACCTGATATGTGTGGAAGGGCAGAGGCGAGTACATGTGCTTTCCTCCCCCAGATCAGTAAAAAGCAGCACAAGCAAAGCATTAGCTGAGGCCGATTCTAAACATCAAACAGCTAATTCTAGGAGGTTGAAAACAAAAATAGACTATCTAGAGTGCAGACAAGACCGGTGTATTGATTTATTAATTTATGTATCGCACCCAGTTGCTTCAATGGAGAGCCATACTTTAATGTTTATATATTTGCAAATGCAATTCTCAGGTTATTCATCTGAATATAACAAACAGTTAAATATCAGCCAAATTAAAATCTGTTGTATGTACATTGCTAAACGCCCTACTTTGAATTTCTCAGTGGGTCTATTAATTTTCCTGAGAGATGACTGTAGATATATCCAAAAGCATATTCTGAATGATTAGGACACTTTCAGAAATTTATCCTATTAGTAACCTACCTTCTGGTAATAGACACCTTATTCTGAAACCACCCCTCTCTATTAAATCATGACACTATCTAATGAAATACGAGCAGAGGAGCTAATGTTAAGATGAAGTCTACTGTTTCCAAATTTATAATAAGCTCCATGTATTTCATTGTCTTAAACTCTGCTTACTGTATTTAGGTTATTGATTTATCAAGGCAAGATATACCAATAAAAAGGAGGAATTGTTTTGATATTTAAGAGTAGGTTCTTATCTGACTCATAGGCTGATTTATGTTATAGCAAGAAATTGGCAAAATTGTAATAAGTTACAAATAATAGATTATAAGTATTATAATTACTTATAAATAAATTACATATAATTATAAATTACATATAAATTATAAGTAATTATAATTACTATAAACATTATGGATTCCCTATCTCCAGAGTCTTGAGAGTATAGTGATTTAATCCCGAGTTTTCATTCTTAGTTTGAAATAAAGGCCTATGCGAGAGATGTGTCCCCTACTCCTCCTTGCGGGGGGCATAATCATCCTTATCTGGCTCTGATTTTTTCCCATGTCACTAGTCACTATCAAAAAACTGTAAAGTATACATTTTCATTTGCTTTTTTTTTTTAAAGATTTGATTTATATATTTGATAGAGAACAAGCACAAGCAGGGGAACTGGCAGAGGCAGAGGGAGAAGCAGGCTCCCCGCTGAGCAGGGAGCCCCACAGGGGGACTCGATCCCAAGACCCTGAGATCATGACCCGAGCCAAAGGCAGATGCTTAACCGACTGAGCCCCCAGCGCCCATATACTCATTTGCTTTTATTCTTCCATTCCCAGAATGTAAGCTCTGTGAAGGGAAGGATTTTTGAGTGTTTTATTTTACTGACGTATTTATATAATAGGCACTCACTAAATATTGGTCGAATGAATAGATATGAAACATCATACAGCATAAAGTGACACTGTAAAACAACTTAATAATAATTTGAACAAAAACATGAGTTAAGGGCCCCTGGGTGCCTCAGTCAGTTAAGCATCTGACTCTTGATTTTGGCTCAGATCATGATCTCAGGGTTGTGAGATTGAGCCCCACCTCTGGCTCCGAACTCAGGACAGAGTCTGCTAGTCCTTCTCCGTCCCCTCTGGTCCTCTGTCTCTCTCTCAAATAAATAAATAAAACCTTAAAAAACAAAAAAAAACATGAGTTAAACTCAATTCTGGGACTTGTGAAGAAGTTTCAAAAATTTACTTCAGATAGCAGTTTCTCCAGAGAGACTTCTCTGAAGTCCCCAGTATGGGCTGGATGCTCCTGCTATGTGCCCAAACAGATCTCCATCCTTTACCACAATATGAAATCTTACCAGACGGTCCGTGTCTCTCTTCCTTGTTCTCAGAGCTCACTGTGCTCTGAAGACAGGGCCACAGGGTTTTGTTTGTTTGTTTTTAAAATCCAGACACAATGTTTGGTTCCTAGAAAGCACTCGGTTACAAAAGCAAAGGGAAGGGGGTCTTGAAGGAAAAGATAGAGGAGATGGGGAATAGAAAGGAAGAGATGAATAAAGGGTGGAAAAAAAGTTGCTCATTTAATCAAGATAGAACATCTGGACAAGGGAAGAATTTGGGTATTGACGTAGGTTCCCAAGAGAGGTTTATTTAACAAATGAATTCAGATTTATGAGTACCTCTGCATGCCAGGCACGCTTCTAGCCACTGAGGGTGTTGCAGTGAACAAAGAGATGATGTCATTGTCCTCATGGAGCACTTTTAGGTTAGTTTAAAAAAAATTTTTGTTTTAGTTTTAAATTATTTTGTAGGGGGGAGACAGACAATAAACAAGTGTAATATTGTATATGTAAAACAATGCACAACATAATGTGAAACATAGTGGAAAATGTATAAATTGTAAAAATAAATGAATTATATAAAATATATGAATTATATAATATATATGAAAATAATATATAATATATGATATGATATGATATAATGTAGAATTCGGGGATGCTTAAAGGGAATCCGTGGATTGCCTCTTTGTAAAGATTCCTCATAAGCCTTTACCTGTAAAATGCTATTTGCCGTATCCCGGAATGCGAAGCACAACAGAAATCACTCCAGGAGCGGCATTTATAATTTCCATGTGTGCCTCAACCCAGCCTGAATGTGGGAGGAGCGATTTGCCTAGATGTTGAAAAACCATGCGTAGACCTTGGAGGGGCCCATGTCCTAGTGGCGTGCAGAAGCTCCCCGCCGCCGAGGGGAGACTGCGGGGTCTGGAGGCTTCCTGCGCCCAGGCTTCCTTCTTGCGCCCCTGGGCGGGACCCCTCCTTTTTGAACTGACAGCGGGGATGAAGAGGGTTTGAGAACTTACAGACCAGATAAACTTCTCCAGACTTTTGGTTAAAAACGACTGCGCTCCGTTTCTTTCTTCAAGGTCTTGATTAAGTTGGTATTATTTACAAAGTCGTTTCAGTATACAAAGAATCGAGTCTTGTACTGGAATGGGGGTGATTGCAGGATCTGGGTCCCCACGGTAGACTCCTGTGGGTACGTGATAATAATTAGAAATACACCGTTGAGCGCCTGGGTGGCTCAGTTGGTTCAGCGACTGCCTTCGGCTCAGGTCATGATCTTGGAGTCCGGGGATCGAGTCCCACCCACATCGGGCTCCCTGCTCAGCAGGGAGTCTGCTTCTCCCTCTGACCCTCTTCTCTCTTGTGCTCTCTCTCATTCTCTCTCAAATAAATAAAAATCTTTATAAAAAATAGAAATACACTGTCGCTTTTGCTTTAATAGAGGCGAATTATTTTGCTAGCATATGGAAGAGTGTGCTTCGGGTACCACAGTGCTTTGTGGTAGAGGGGAAAACAAACCAAAAACAATTACATGAATGAGGTAGAATGACTGTGTTATTACAGTGCATAAGACTTTGATTACATACTGCCAAGATTCATACCAGCCTAGTAGTTGTTGACAGATAAAGTAACAAAAATGAAACTCATTTATTTTTTTCTTTATTGAGACCTCAAGGAAAAGCAGATTTTCAGTTCTTGCACTTACGACGTTGATAGAACAGAGACTGAGAGTGAAAATGTGCCAGTCCAGAAATATAAATTAAACCTCGGTTCATATCAAAATTCCATGTAGTCTTGGAAAAGGAGCTGCTGTTTGGATTATTTTTGATCCTAAACCAAATATACAATGGAGGATCACCGTATACCTGGTATTTGTTAACCCTTTCTTGTGAACAATACTTGCAACCTTACTGTTGTTTTCGGTCGACGATGCTTTATTTCTTTCGCAGTGTTTGAGGCAACTTGAATTATAGTCAGTGTAGGTTATATTTTACTGAATGCAAATTGCTAACAACAGACATATACATTTCAGTCTGCAGGAAGTATGAAACTAGATTTGGAAAATTGATAACAGACCCTTTTCTCTATTACAAAGTCTTATTCGATGCTACAGTTTGATTATCGAGACAAGGACAAAAGTAAGTGAGAAATATAAAGTGAGGATTTTGGGATTGTTTGTTGAGGTTGTTGATGTGTATTGAACAAAATTTCTGACTAGATCTTTTGTACCTTCCTTCCTTCCTCCCTCCCTCCCTTCCTTCCTTCCTTCCTTCCATCCTTCCTTTCCTCCTTCCCTCTCTTCTTTCTCTCTCTTTCTTTTCACTTTCTCTCTCTTTCTTTTTATTCAACTGTCGACATGGAAATTTTGCTACAGTTTCTCATAATTAAGACACTACGAAATCGATGACAGAATTCTGGAAACAACAACACGGTAGACTTGGGGAATGGATATACAAGTGGGTAAACAGAACGATCAGTGAACCCTAAACATCATTATAATCCAACAATGTCCGTTTCTCTGAGTATATCCTAAACATAATTTTGCTTACATTTTTTATTGTTATTCTAAAGTCTACATTTGATCATATTCTCATTAATTTTTTAGCAACCGAAAGATAGCATGAACTCGTTTCTTGAATTACCTTTTCTGACCTTTTGCAAGATGATAATTACAAGAAAGGGAGGCCTGGAAGGACTTGTACAAAAATTAAGCTTATAAAGTAGCTAAAATGGCCCTTCTGTGCTGGTGTCGATTTCAAAATTAACATTTTGGTTCATGTGCTTCTAATAATCACTGACCCTTACTTCATGTACTTTCCACAGGAAATGAATACAGCAGAAATTACTTTGACCCACTGATGGATGAGGAAATCAACCCAAGGCAGTGTGGGATGGAGGTCAGCAGAGAGGGTGAGCTAGAATTAAGTATGTAATTTTTGTGTCAGGATATTCTTTTCCATTCATGAAAATGAGGTGACAAAGATCACACATGCAGTTCCGTTTAGATTTTGCAGCTTACAATTTAAATGGTAAGTTTTAACCACTAACAACATGATGGGCAGCGAAGGTAATTTTTGATCAAGGACAGCCAGCTGGTCAGAGAGAAGAAGCAGGAATTTGCTTTCATTTGACACTGCCGCCGGAAGCGGTTTGGTGTCATTATAAGGCCCGTGTTATGCGTATAAGGAGCATCATCACTTCACAAATGCCATCTCTGCTCTTTGAGATTAAAATGAGCATTCTTTGATGAATTGCAAAATTCATCTAGCGTAAGAAGATTCTGTGCATGGTGACTACTGATTCCTTTCATCGGAGGCCAGGCACCGCTGCCTGGGTTCTGAACCACAAAGGTGCAGTGGTCTGATGATTGCTTCTTCTATAACCTTGAGTCTGTTGCAGTTGTAAAATAACAATTCAGAAGATGACATTTCACACTGGGCACCAGTCACTGAATCTGAACTTTTTAGGGAAAGTTGGGGTAAATCCTCACAGATAGGGGGGCTCAAGCACAGTGCAAAAATTATTTTAAAAGACAGTTTTCAATAACTACACCTCTTTTTAGATGACACAGAATCCACGGATATCATCAAAATACGTATGTACAAGATAAGGCAAGAACTTACTCTCAGGGCAGTTTTTACCAGTAACTCAAATCAAGGTGAATTGAAAACTGGAAAAATCTCAACCTTTTATTTGCCCAACACACTTGGGGGATGAAAGATAATCCCAATGCATTCTGGAGAGGAGTATCAATTGGATTCTTCCTGAAATCTGTTTTAAATCCTTGGAGATCACAATATATAGTTGTGTTTGATGGAGTTTTTGTAATGTAAGGACTAAAGTTGGCTTAATAAGATGCTCAATGATATATGATGAGGAATGGCTGTAAACATGGACAGGCAAGTGACCCAAAATATTGTGGGCCACTCTTCCCTAGTCAGCAGTGATCGCCCAATGCCTGGGGTTCACTTTGGGTCCCGTGTTTCAGAGCAGGCAGCTGTCTTTATATCAAGTTTTAAGCCTGCAATTAGTAATCATTTCTTTTTCTTTTTGCCGGGTAGTCAAGCCTATTTCATCTAGGGAAATAGTGCTAATGAACACAAGGTCGCCTGCCACATCCTCTGTGGCACAGAGCTGAAGACCATGCAGGGACATAACAGGCCTGGGAGGGGCCACCTGAGCAAAGGTGCAACGCACAGCATTTTGTGTGTTTGCCGCATCTATCTTCACCCTAGTTCAGCTTTGTTTTCATATTTATTTGTTTTTTATTTGTTTATAATTTTTTTCTCAAATCAATACAGCTTCTATTGCATCTTTAAAATACCACAAATAAGTCTGAAAAATCATCCAGCATCTTTCTGTTCCTGTAGCTGGGCAACTTAGATCTTATTCATCAGCCTGCCAGACTGGTCCTTTTTCAGAAGCATAGATACCATCTCCAAATTTTCTGTCATCCTTGTTTTTAACTGTGGTGGCTTACTGAATCAAAGCAGCTGAGTGTGATCCCGGTTCAGTGTCATTTCCTTCAAAAATTAACTCATCTTTCTTGAGTTACTGAACAAGCAACACCTGGTCTCATCCAAACCCTGGGGATGTACTTTTCACCCAAGAAATTTCAGATTTCAACAAGAGAACCATTCTCCTGAATGACAACGTTGGTGGTGAAGTAAGCTTTCACAGACCTCATCTTGTAATGGAAGCCCAGTGTCACGCCCTTGACCATGTTCTGTACATGACTACAGACAGTGTGGACAGTAGCCAGTTCTTTGCTGTTTCCTATCACTTGTCAGCTCAGAGCCTCTTCTGTTTCTTTCCAAGGAGACTGAGTTCTACATTGATGTGCTTGGAGTCTCTTTTCAGGGTTCCTCTGGGACCCTTCACAATAACAGTGTCCCTTCAGAGTGATGTTGACACTTTCAGAATGTTGACAGTCTGATCGCTGAGAATGGTCTCCATTCTCACAGTAGATGTGGCAAAGCTGTTTATAATTTGTCCTCTACTTGCTTCCAAAATAGTTGGAGACAGCTTATAATAAAAATGTAAAAGCATATGGTCAAAGCAAAGTTCAAATATAGATGAAAGAGGGATTTGAGAATGCCTATACAAGGAAGTAAATGTACGAGAAATCGAGGACAGTATTATAACTATAATTAATCACTTACTCTTACTTTGTGCTTCTTGGAAGTTAAATATAAAGGGATATCAGTTAGATAACATTCAATGTTAAACAGAATTTATTACTCTTTTTCAGGGTCGATAACCCACCATCACCACCACCATTTTATTTTATTTTATTTATTTATTTTTTAAAGATTTATTTATTTGGGAGAGAGAGAGAGGGTGAGTGGGGGGGGCAGAGGGAGAGGGAAAGAAAGAGTCTCAAGCAGACTTCACGCTGAGCCCAGAGCCTGACTCGGGACTCGATCTCACAACCCTGAGATCATGACCTGAGCTGAAATCAAGAGTCGGATGCTTAACTGAGTCACCCAGGCACCCTTACCATTTTATTTTATTTTATTTTATTTTATTTAACAGTAGATACTGGAAGGATAATATTATGTTAATTTTTTATCTAGCAAAGATTGTAAAAATAGTGGATAATTGGTTCTTGGTTCTTGGTCAAGACATTTTACTTAATATAGAAAATAGATCTGAGTGTTGCTACGAGGCATCTACTACATAGCTGCACAACATTTTATTATCTTACAATTTGGATATGATTTGATGTAAGTAATATTAGTTTGTGGATCAGTCAGGGTTCTCCAAAGAACCAGAACCCAGAACCAATAAATAGGCTCTCTTTCTGTCTCTGCATATCACATAATACATGTATAACATACGTGTACATAATACATATACAATATATGTATATGCAGAGAGAGACAGGCAGATAGAAAGAGGGAGATTTAAGAAGTTGGTTCATGTGATTGTGGGGACTAGCAAGTCTATCTATAGGGCTAAGGCTGGTAGGGTGGAGATTCAGGTAAAGTTTGATGTGAAATTCGGGCAAGCACTGATATGCAGTCTTGAGACTGAATTCGGCAGGGCAGCAGATTGGAAGTGGAAGCATAATTTCTATATCGCAGTGTTGAGGAGAATCACTTCTTTGGGAAACCTGCATTTTTTCTCACGCCTTCAACTGATTGGATGAGGCCCACCCACATTGCATGTAGAGTAATTTGCTTTAATCAAAGTGTACTAATGTAAAGGTCAATCACATCTGAAAAAGACCATCACAGCAGCATCTAGACTGATGTTTGACCAAACAACTAGGTACCCCAGCCTAGCCAAGTTGACACATCAAGTTAACCATCACCTGTTGTATTTAATAATAACAAATTAATACATAATAATGGAGTGTTGAGGCCCATGGATTTGACATGCTAAATGTGTTCTCCCTGATTGCCAAACTTTAATTCTCTTCCTACTCAGTCTCAAGTGAACACCAGCTCCTGCCTGGAATTGTCGGATTACTTTTGTCCACACCCACTTTTCCTTTGCTTTAATCTATTGTCCACATAGCATCTTGCTCATCCCCCATTGAAGCTCTCTTACTATTGCCTGTTGCTTTCACGGTAAAGACGAATCTACTCTCCTTCTTCATCTCAGGTCCCCTGCACTTGCTCACTGTGCTCTGGCCACATGGGACTTCCTTTTGTTCCTTATATGCATGGAACTCCTTCTGGACACTGAATGCTCACAGGTGCTGGGACAGCCTCCTTACTGGCCATTGTACTCTCTTCCTGAAGATTCAGCTTACATGTCAATTATCCACTCCCTTGACTAATCAAAGTGATGTTTCCCTGTCTACCTTCTTTATCAAACACATCGCAATGATCACTAAACTATTTATTAGTGAGGTTACCTGTGAAATGTGCTTCTCCCCTATTAGACCATCTCCTGAACACAAAGAGGGATGAGATTCTGCTTACCTTGTTCACTGATGAATTCTTTAAGGTGTAGCACAACAGTTGGCATAGAGCACGAGTTTGCTTGAGAAATCTTTGTTGAGTGAATGTATAAATGAAGAAATGAATGGAAAGTGCTAAGCATAATATCCCAAACATGGTGAGCCTTCTGTACACAGGAGTTATTATTACTTCCTGAGTGCTCAAGGGGTGTCTTACGCTGGACATAGCAGCTCTGGCCAGCCCATGCAAAACCGTCCAAAGTAGCTGTCATTATTTCTATTTTTATAATGAAGAAACAAGTTGAGAAAGATTTGGTAGTTTTCTTAAGATCAGAGAGATTTGGCAAGCATGGAGTGGAAATCTGATCCCTATCTTTGGCACTATCTGTTCTCTTTTCCATTAGGTGTTGCCTTTTTCCTGTTGGCTTTCCCCATCTTTCCCTTTGAGGAAAATTTCCGAAGGGGAAAGTAAGCAGATTGGTTCAAATTGTTGAATTTAAGTTTGAAGGGGACATTCTCTTGCCTTCAGTTCCTGTCTTATGTAACCCATTTGACCCTCCAGGGTTCTACTGGGACAACACTGAGGGTGTTTCTCACCAGGTCTGCCTACGGAAGGAATTAGAAACTTTTGTTCAGGTTCCTCTCATACGACACGTCAGAAGCTGTCTATAATTCATTACTTCATAATGAAAACGAAAACACTAGTTCAGAATGACAGAACCTAAACTATTGAAAAATTCTGTACTTCATACAATTACTAAGTAGTTAACAACAAACAAACAAGGAAATGGGGGTGGCTGCCCTTGACTGAGTCCCTACTATATTCTAGGCATGAAGCAACATGCTTTATGTGTGTTATCTTCTTAACCCTCACTTCCATCCCATTTGGGGGCGCAGGAAATTAAAGCTCAAAGACTCTAAGAAGTTGCCCCAAGATTACAGAGCTAGTTAAGTGGCAGAGCTGGGATTTGGACGTAGGTTTGCCTCTCTCTAAAGATGGTGTCTCTGTACTAATGCCATTTACGTTTTGCCTATCTGTTCACTTGACATGCAAGATGTATGTTCATTTATTCTTTTCTGTGATCCTCATTGGTCTGTCAGGATTACCTAGTCCTTATAGTGAGGCTTTTATTACGTCTGCAGAGATTTCCCCATCTATGCATCTGCTATTGCTCACTGTTAATTTCTAAATAAGATTCTTTTATGAGCCATATATCAGCATTAAAAGTTTTGTTGCTGTTTTCCCTAAGAGTTATCAAGTTCCAGGTGATGCCGGAATACAAGTTCATGCTTCCCTAATGTACAACCTGCAAAATGTCTTCTGGGGATGGCCCCTTCTCCCTTCTCCCAAATGTTGGAGTGGTAGGAGGTTTGTGCGGGCTCTTGGCAGGAAAAGAACATTTGAAGGTCAACTGATACTTGAGAAAATCATCTGCAGCGTTCAGTGAGCAGAAGCTGACTTCAAAGACCTTTTTATGTTACACTTTCAGACATTCTATCTGGCTCCGGCAGCCTAGGCTTTCCTGATTACTCATCCCAAGTCCATGAGCACAGGCTACCGTGAATTTCTTTCCAATACTGATGTTCAAAAGATCATAGGGATGAATGGAAAGGGAAGACCTCGAATTTTCAGGAACTTCTCACTTGGACAGTGAAAACCCGTTAAGGCTCTTCTAGAACACTTGATGTTGGAGTTTCAGATGTGAGTTGCAGAACTGACTACCATCCTGAGTTGGCTCGCCCATGGAGTACAAAGTGAGAAGTAGTAGAAATATGTGGGCTTTATTAAAACTACCTCTGTAAGGGTACAACCACAGTTTAGTTCATCCACTTGCCTCCTAGAAGAAGGGGAACATTTTGATGTATGTATGTCTATTCCAAGACAGGGGTGGTCATCCAAATTTGCATCATTTATGTTTGGTTCTATCCAGTGGCAGATCTACCTAGATGACTCTTTAAACCCTTTTCCAGAACCATGTTTTTTTGATCATGTGTTTTGTTTTTTTTTTATATGTTTGGTTGGTTGGCTGGTTTCCGTTTTTTAATGACATAACCCTGTTACTTTAAATTCATAAAAGAACTAAGTAGCACTTGTATTGGCTATTATATTGCAATATCATATATAAAAGAATTTAAGACCACCTAATGCCACTTAAGTTTGTTGTTTCTAACATATATGCAGTAAAAAATAGCATATGCAGACAGTAGGTAGTGGAAAACACTCATTCATTTTGCTTTATATATTCTGTTGTATGATTTGACAAACCATAATGGCTTGTTCTAAAATGATTTTTGTGTAGTGCATGTCAGAATCCACTGAATTTTAGATCATTTTTATTGGAGAAGAAGTATCCTATTATGAATACCCTGCAATATACATTTAAAAGTCATTGTTCCATTATCATTGATTTATAAAAGGTTTTTTTTTTATTTCAGAGGAAGGCAGCATATTGAATAGAATTTGTGTCTATGACCTACAAAATAACTAAAGAGCCACAATGATTAATAATTTCTTTTTGTAATTCAATTTGCATATTTATAAATTAACTGATGAGAAAGTTATCATAAATATGTTCTTTTAGCACCCCTACAAGTTGATAATAGAATTCTCTGTGATTGATTAATGAGGCTATTTGACAAGCATGGACAAAGAGAAGCCCAAGGTAAGAGACTAATTATTTTCAATCTTTTGTATTAACATTAGTTGTAAATTCATTAAGACATTTTCCTGCAAATGCTGATCTGTGTTTTCTAAACATAACCCCTCACTGATGACCTATGTGTGTCTTTGATGGTTGCAAATACTTAAATATAGCTAAAGCTGGGGGGAAAGGTAACTATGGCTCAGTTTTCTAGAATTACATAGAATTTATAACCCTAGATAGTGAAATGATTTACTTGCTATTGCAGGATCTTACAAGGAGATATGACATATTTGGATTCTCTACTATGGTGCTATACGCCACTCTTTTTAAAGAGTGTATTTTAGCTTTTAGATAAATGCTTTGGGTGATAGAAAACAAGCAGTATATTGTTTTTAATCTTAGCATGGGAATTCATACTTGTGAATGTTAGGCTCTTTAAGTAAGTAATTCTCATGTGTATTAATATAGGAATTTAAAGATAATCCCTTAAAAACTAAAATCTAAATTCTTAGGTTAACACATACAAATTCATGCCAGAACCACACTGGAGATTTCACCAAAGCATTAAGTGTAAATTGTTGTATCCACTTGTATTTAAATTCATTAAGTTTTTTTTTTCTCAGTATGTGCTTAGTTCTTCTCAAATGATCATTGTCTCTTTCTAATTTATTTTTTTATTTTATTTTTTTTAAAGATTTTATTTATTTATTTGAGAAAGTGAGAATGAGAGAGAGAGAGAGAGCACATGAGAGGGGGGAGGGTCAGAGGGAGAAGCAGACTCCCCGCTGAGCAGGGAGCCCGATGCGGGACTTGATCCCAGGATTCCAGGATCATGACCTGAGCCGAAGGCAGTTGCCGAACCAATTGAGCCACCCAGGTGCCCTCTTTCTAATTTAAATAATTCTTTAAAATACTTGTGAGGAGATGGGGCTCGTGGTTAAGTCCTCTATATTTTTAGTTATTTTTCTAATAAATTTATGCTTAGTCTTCACCATTTGGTAACTGTGTCACCTTGGGCCAATTTCTTAACATTTTTTTTGCCATTTCTGCCAAATGGACATATGATCCCTCCTACAATGGAGTAGTTATGGGGATTAAATTATTCATTAATACATGGGCAGACATCATAAGCACACACACACAGAGAATAATGAAGATAATTGATAATGATGAAAAAATTAATACCAACTAAACATTTGCTGAGTGCTGACCAGGTGCCTGGCATTGTCCTAACCACTGTTCAATTGTAAATATGGTAAGTATTTTTTTTTAAAGATTTTATTTATTTATTTGAGAGAGAGAATGAGAGAGAGAGAGCATGAGAGTGGGGAGGGTCAGAGGGAGAAGCAGACTCCCTGCTGAGCAGGGATCCCGATGTGGGACTTGATCCCGGGACTCCAGGATCATGACCTGAGCCGAAGGCAGTCACTTAACCAACTGAGCCACCCAGGTGCCCTAAATACAGTAAGTATTAACTTACTTAAACCTCCTAACAATCCTGAAGGTTAGGCCACCTTTTTAATCCCCATTTACAGAGTAGCATCCCCTAAAAATTTTATTCCCGCCTAGATACATTTCCCCTTAGCTTTTTTACTATCAGTTTGTGTAACATTTTATTTCTTTTTGTCTTTATAAACCAAACAGACTCATTTTCAGGCCAGCTTGATCCCTCATTTTGAAAGATCCTCACTTGAATGAAGAATTAATCAGGATTCCCCAGAGAAACAGAATCCAATAGAACCAATAGAAAGAGAAAGAGATTTATGGGGGCTGGCAAGTCTGAAATCCTTAGGACACACTGGTAGGGTGGAGATTCAGGTAAGAGTTGATGTAAAATTCAGGCAGGAGTTGAAATCTTGAGTCATAATTCCTCAGGGCAGCAGGCTGGAGATTCAAGAAAGAGACAATGTTGCAGTCTTGAGACTCAATTCCTTCTTTTTGAGGAAACCCTAATCTTTACTCTTAAGGCTTTGAAATGACTGGATGAGGCCCACTCACATCATGAAGGGGGATCTGCTTTGCTCAAAATCTACCAATGTAAATGTTAATCACATCTAAAAAAATTACTTCACTGGCAACATCTAGACTGGTGTTTGAACAAATAACTGAGCACCGTACCCTACCCATGCAGACACATAAAATTAAGCATCAAAAATGGCTATGTTTAAATTAGTGAGATTTCTATATTTTTAGTCTAATATGTGAGTCAGCAAATATATATTAAATATTTGTGTGTGTGTGTGTGTGTGTGCGCTAGGCATTGAGCAATGCCCTTTTATACCTACTATGTCCCTTCCATTCTGACAAGTCTTTGCAGCTTGGATCCTGGAAACCATCCATGTACACATTTACAGGTGGCACCTGATAGGTTTTCAAAATAATTTGTGAGCTTTCAAAAGTCTTACGGAACTTACAGAATGAATAGCCAGGTATTATTTGTCAGTACTATATGGTCAGCTATGTTGTACAAGAGGATATATTTGAGACTTAGAAAGTTTAAAAACTTGTGCAAGGTAATACAGTGAACCAGTGAACAAAGAAACCAATCCTCTGGACACTGAAGCCCAGGGCTCTTTCCCGGTATATCCTACCTCATGTCCTGCTGGACACCAAGCTCTCTTCCTTTGGTTAAAAGTGTTTAGGTTTTTGTTAAAATTCTAACTTTGGAGGCATGGAAAATTCCACATTTTACCTTCCAGCATTTTTTCCCAAGCCTGGAAGAGAGAGGATTATTGTATATTTACAGTGTGCATCTAGCTAGATGAATAAATGCATTTTGTAGATGATACTGTTTTCAGAAGATAGAGAGAGAGAGAAAGTACACACATACCATTTATATAAATGCAGGCATTTCTATGCAAATAAACAAGGCAGCCCAACTAAAGTCCCTCTGTTTGCAAAGCTCAGGAACTGTTCTCAGGGATCCTAACTTGAAAAATGAATCCAAGCGCTCTGGCTTCTCCTATACATATTCATCTCCCAAGTTGGTTTCAGCAAAACGGTGAGCAAGTTGGTAAGACGTTGAGGTAAACAACATGTAATATTAACACACAGAAAAGCGGAATATCTACACTTCAGGAGGTATTTGGTAAGTGGGAAAAAGACTTTCAGGCAGAGCCTGTACTTGACTCAACTTTGGGAACACGACAGGAGGAACAAAAGTTGTTGGCATTGGGCTTGTTTTTTAATCATAAAACTTGTTCTGGGCTTTAGCAATTTCCCAGTACATTAAACAGAGAATAACTTGCTAAACTGTAGATTATGGAAAACCAAGCTGTATCCCTGGTAAGAAAAAATGTGGTTAGATGACTGTGTTTTAAGCCAATGTTAAAGTGACAAAAAGCAAGTCAAATTTCGTGTGATTTTCTTGGGGTAAATAGATGAGAGCTTCAAGGAGATTCTGGATTCTGAAGAGCCAGTGAGTTCCGGAAAGAGACCCGAACCCCGCAAAGAGGACAGCCAAGCCACTTCTGTCTACAGTGAGGCGTCTGGACGTGTTCAGAAAAGTATAATTCTGCCTGGAAGTTCTTCTTTGGAACAGGTCAGCGTGAAATGTATATCGAGAAATGTAAGATAATCTCTCTTTTTAAAATAGCAAGTTGAAATGTCAGTCCTACACATCATCCATTGGTTTTACTCACCAACCCACCCCTGTCTAGAACACATGATTCATGACTTGCCCAAATCTTTTCCCTTATTTTTCATATACCTTTTAGCAAGCAGAACTTACGCTATTTATTAATATCACACAATTTAATTTTACTTCATCTGGTTTTATTTCATTTACCCCGAGAAGAAAGGTAAGCTGAGTCAGGCTAAAGAGGAAAAAATGTCACCAGGGGAGTGGTACTTACTTCAGTGCATTGTTAGAGGAGGAGGAGATGAGTCATTCATAAAGAATCTAGCACAAAGAAGGTGCTCTTTAAATGGCAGGGGCACGCGGAGAGAAAAAATGATTGTCCCCTTCCCACGCCAACACTCTCCATGTTCTCACTTTCATGGTGTCAGGAAGTCCCCTGAACATTCTCTGCAGGAAAATACTTCTCATTTGGTGTTAGAGCTTATAGCTTTCATCCTTGGTCCTGATATTTATATGAGTTTGAATCTCTGTGTAAAGTAGGATGAAATAATTTAAGCCTTTTATGGTTGTGGTGAGGATTAATAAAATGTGTCCAAATGCCTGGCAGTTGATGTTTCTCTTTTCTTATGACTCATATTACATATTTGTTGAGACTGTTACCTATGCTTACTTTTTTTTTTTAAAGATTTCATTTATTTATTTTGAGAGAGGGAGAGAGAAGGAGAGAGGGAGTGGGGGGAAAGGCAGAGGGAGAGGGAGAGGGAGAGGGAGAATCTCAAGCAGACTCAGCACTAAGTGTGGAGTCAGATGTGGGGCTTGATCTCACAACCCTGAGATCATGACCTGAGCCAAAATCAAGAGTCAGCTGCTTAACTGACAGAGCCACCCAGGCACCCCACCTATGCTTACTTTTTATTACTATTGTAAGGGTGAACTGATACTTACAAAAGTCAAGGTGTTTATTTTTAATTTTTTTTTTAAAAGATTATTTCTCAGGGAGAGAGAGAGGGAGAGAGAGAGAAAGCACAAGCAGGGGGGAGAGGCAGAGGGAGAAGCAGACTCCCCGCTGAGCAGGGAGCCCGATGCGGGACTTGATCCCAGGATTCCAGGATCATGACCTGAGCCGAAGGCAGTTGCCGAACCAATTGAGCCACCCAGGTGCCCTCTTTCTAATTTAAATAATTCTTTAAAATACTTGTGAGGAGATGGGGCTCGTGGTTAAGTCCTCTATATTTTTAGTTATTTTTCTAATAAATTTATGCTTAGTCTTCACCATTTGGTAACTGTGTCACCTTGGGCCAATTTCTTAACATTTTTTTTGCCATTTCTGCCAAATGGACATATGATCCCTCCTACAATGGAGTAGTTATGGGGATTAAATTATTCATTAATACATGGGCAGACATCATAAGCACACACACACAGAGAATAATGAAGATAATTGATAATGATGAAAAAATTAATACCAACTAAACATTTGCTGAGTGCTGACCAGGTGCCTGGCATTGTCCTAACCACTGTTCAATTGTAAATATGGTAAGTATTTTTTTTTAAAGATTTTATTTATTTATTTGAGAGAGAGAA